CGGGCGCGGACGCGGCTCCTCAGCCGGCGCCTCCTCGCCCGCGCGAGCCGCAGGTGCCAGCGACATCGAGCGGTTCCTGGGGGCCTTCTGCGACCAGAGAGACGCCGTGGTGGAGGCGGCAAGGAAGCTGCTGAGCGACGAGCGGGCCCCAGGGAGGCAGAAGCTGCTGGTGGATCTCATCCACAACCTGAACGAAAACATCCTGGCCGAGGGCAAGGAGGAGGACGAGAAATGGTTTGAAGGTACGTCTGCTCGGAGGAGTCACGTCTGTCAATTTTACTGTTCTTAAGGAAAAGTAGTTTAAAAACCGGGGAGTCCTTCTGGCTGGTGTGATTTGGTACCTGCTCAGGGATTAGTTATCACTTACGTCAGCATGCGGTTTGAGGTTTCTTTAAAACAGATGCATCTTTACTATCAGAAAACGGTAAAAACCAATGTTTCCTATTGCTTTATCCATGATCTTTCTGGAATACATCCTCCCCCTTAACACAGGTCCACATGTACAGTCTTTTTTAACAGTTTGCACATATCAGCCAGCTAACTTTGCTTTATGTATTCTTTATACTTTGCAAGTTTCTCCTCCCATTCTCAAGCCATTGTGGCAGTTCTTCCTGAAAAAATCAGTTTTCTTTTCACAATCTCCTAGTGTTCTGTGTATGCACATTAACAGGAAATGTTTAACAATTGTAATATCAGCTACTGCTCTCAAACCAGATGCCCTGCGTGGTCCTTCAGTGCTAAGAGCAGAGTAGTCTCGAACCAGTAAAATGGGAAAGAAAAAGAAATCTGTGCATAGGGGGTTTGTGAAAAGAAGGGATAAATACCCAGCCAGGCGGAAGCACGGCTCTAAAAGTACTAAGTTACAACACAGTCTAACTCCCCTTAGGTCTAGAGTCTCGTTTTAAGAACAAGTCAAGCTACATGCGGTACAGTTGTGAAAGCAGAATACGAAGCTACATGAAAGAGGTAAAAGTTTCTGTTGAAGTAACTCATTTTCAAGCTGCTAGTACAAGTCATTCTGTGACCACATGTGTGTAAGATGCTTTTACAGCGCAACATAGTGATTGCAGAGAAGAGCCTCAGGCTGCTACAGGCACCAAGGCATGATTTGCCTTTCTTTTTCCCCCTCTAGGTTAGTAGTTTTATGTCAAATGTTCATCCTACGGCAAGAGACGCATATAAACGGATAATTGACCTGATGTCAGACAAACTGAAGTCTGTGAAATACAACGGGTGCTACTTTGACAGGAGGGAGGAGGAGGCGGTCCGCCTGTGCACTGCGGAGGGCTGGTTCTCCTGCCAGGTGAGCTCAGCCCTCTGGTCCCAACAAGCAGCGGCCTGCGACTTGCAGCCACGTCAGGGAATGGACGCGGTTCCTCGGAAGCTGGCGTAGGGGCAGCATCAGGTTCGGCGGGGTGACGTTGTCATGGCGTGCGTGACCTGTCTGGGGCCCGTTACAGCGGGCGGAGGGGCCGCGCTGGGGTGAGGGCTGGCACTCCTTTTGTGGGCGGAGGGTCACCATCACGACAAACTTATCTGCACCGCTGCAGAGAAGCCGGCACTTGTGTATTGCAGCGCTGGGAAGCACGGGGGGTGGCTCCTCCTGACGTGCTTCAGAGTTACATCCAAAACTCAGCATCTTTCTATCCTTTTTCTGCAAAGTCGTGATCTTTAACATATTTTAACATAAGCGTGCATGTTATGCCCGCTATTAATTTTGACATTTACAATGGTTTGTCCACCCTATTAACTAACTTTACTAATATTCCTATACTAATATAATCATTGGTTATTTTACTGATCAAAATCTGATATGCAAATCAGGATGGGGAGGATGTGGGAGTCTTCACAGCAACATTCCTTTGTTTCTGTGGTTTCATCACGTAAGATAAGAGAACTAGCTGAGCATGTACAATTTCACCCCTCATACCTGTCTGCCTGCCTCCCCGTTCTGTGTTCTGTACAATTTCACAACCCGCAGCAGCTCTGGCTTTGGCCATTTTCGTAAGGCATCTGCTGTCTCTGAGCATCAGTGAGGTTTTGTGTATTTCTTACCATAATGTAAATTGGTAATTAACATAAAATGGAATCAGGAAAGAATTAAATACAAGACGTTAGTTGTTCATTAAAAGCAATTAATTATCAATGAAAAGTAATTATCTATTCCAAATTCAGACCTGATGATAACACTTCCATCGCGGCCGTCCTGTGTTACAGGGCCCCTTCGACAGAGCCGACTGCCCATGTAAGCATTCCATCAACCCCTACAGTAACCGGGAAAGCAGAATCCTCTTCGGTACCTGGAACCTCGACCACATGTAGGTACAAAGCGTTAATCCAAACGTGCTGCTTCGTGCCCTTCACCTGAGGCAGGGGGGTTGTTACCCCCGAGCTGTGCCGTTGGCCCCGCTGTGGATAGTGATCAGAGGGGCCTGGGTGCTGCAGCTGCTTCTGTAACACAAAACCCTGGGGACAGGTTATGCTGCTGTCTCTCATGAGCTGCTTCGCTTCTGTTCAGATGGGCTTTGGGTGGAAACACACCCCTCCGCCCCACGCTGGCCTGTCTGAAGTCTCCTCCCCCGCACAAGCCCTCAGACCCGTTTTCAGGCACCGCGCCCTTGTGAAGCAAACGGGATTTGCTGAACTAATTTCCTCAGGGGGGAAAAAAAAAATCATAAACCTAGTTATGGTGAAAGAATTCAAATTCTGCCTGGTTCTAAAAGGAAGATGGAAACTTGACTATTATGAAACAAATTTTTGATGACAATACTGTTTTCTCTTTTGTGTGCTGAAGAATAGAGAAGAAACGTGCTGTTGTGCCAGAACTGGCAGAAGCTGTCAAAACACGAGATGGAAGAGAAGTGAACTGGGAATACTTCTATCAGCTGCTGTTTACCGTGGATAATTTGAAACTTGTACATATTGCTTGCCACAAGAAAACCAATCATAATCTCAGCTGTGACAAAACTAAAATTTACAGAAGAAGGAAGCAAAACCACGCGATTTCATAGTGCTATCTCTGGAAGTGACTTCTGCTTTTTTAAAAATCATGTCACGTGGAGCCCTTTTTAAATAGCTCTACTATCTTAAACAAAAATAAAGAGTCCCTGGCAAAAGAGACTTGCTAAGTAATTCAGCTGCAGTCTCACAGCGCACACATTCGTACCATGCCTGATTCTGCTCTCCCGCCTCCTCACGGAGGACGAGCCTGCCTTAGCCCACACTGTGGAAAGGGTGATAAAAATACAGCTGGGAGTCAGTGTGACAATGAGGCCAGAGGCTGGCGCTGATGGCGCCCGACCGTCTCTTCCGTGCCATCACAAGCGTAGGCCCGCAACTCGGTGTGCAGAAATGAACCTTGGCCAGAACATTTCTTAAACTCTCACCTGAGGGGACTTGCAGATTCGTGTTTCTCTGAACATGAAGCCAAGCAAAGAATACTTGAGGGTAATTATTTGCCCTGTGCCTTTTCCCGGTAGACAGCCACTGTATTTCAGGTGTGCCAAAGGGCGATGCAGCGGCGGAGCCGCTGGCTGCTCTGTACCAAACCACCTGCCCTCCACGTCCATCTGCTGCTGCTTTAGGTGTGCGTCTCCTGAAGGAAGAGCAGGCCACGGCTGCTTTTACCGCCTTTGTCAGCTTTCCCATTGATTTCCCTCTCCTTTCAAACGGTTTCTGCCTCTTTAGCTGGAGTTGGCTTGCAGCAGTATGAGCAACATTACTGCACAATCCTGCTGACCTGCTGCCTTGGGGAGTATTTTGTAAAAAAACTTCCTACCTCAGGTAACAAAACACAAATAGACCAATTCTTGATTTTTTTTTTTTTTTTTTTTTTTAAATATCAGCTGATCGCAACTGAATTTTTAGGGACTGTCACTGTAAATGATGTGAATTTTTTTGTAATAAAAAAATTACCACCATCTTTCTGTGTGTGTACGCGGAGGCAGAGGTGCACGAGTGGTTATTCGGGGGCCGTACAGCGTGGCCAAGAGGGGCTGGAAAGGCTGAGCGCGGGAAATGCGTTTGTCAAGGGAGCACGAGCTGCCCAAGTGCTGTGTGAGCAGCACTGCCCGTCTGCGGGGGGGAGCTCTGCTCTCCCCGGGTCACCGGGCCCCTTTCTCAGCCAGGCGCTCCCAGCTGCTCTGAGCCTCGCTCCAGGGTCCTGCTTTGCTTTAAACAACAAACTCAATCCCCCTCCCTGAAAAGCAAGGGCAGTTCAGACACGGGGTTTCTCATACCAATGCAGAGTCGATCCAGACGGCCGTACTGGCCACGCACCAGTAACCACGATGGAAGCGCACGGGACGCTGTTCGGGCGCTGGGGAAGGCGTCACAGCTGAGATCCCGATGCCGAGCACGACGTCACCTGCACGGCACGCTTCCTGCCAACGGGAAATCACCGTTTCGCACAGCGCTGAGACCAAAATGAGCGTCTGTGTGTGAAGACGTATTTGCTAGAAAGAGGCGGCAGCAAATGCGGCATTGAAGGGAAGCTGGGAGAGCTCCTTCGAGATGGAGTTGTGCTGAAAACCATGAATAAGCTATTAAAAAATTAGATTTTTCTGTGTGACAGAGTTGGAGTGAAAAGGGGCCAAGAAATATCGTTGACAGAAACAATGCGTCAGCTGGAGTGGAAATGTGAATAAATTAACATGTCATGCATATGCAATTTGTGCGGCTTACAACTTCTGAATGTTTAACAGGCTATAGCTGTAGAAATTAATATTTATTTAAACCATTTGCTGATAACATTTTCTCTGTATTTTTAGAAGTGTACAAGAAACTATTTATAACAGTAAAGATCTGGAAGCTTATTGCATACTCACACTTTCCAAGAAGTATTATCATAAACATGGGGTGAGTGAACAGTTCCTGAACCATCCGAGGTTGCTCATGATTTTCTAAAACAGCAGGCCAAAATAAGAAATTTGGTGGACTGACCCACATCGGTAGCAGTCAATACTCGTTCATCCACTGAGTCTGACACTGACAGATTTTATTCCTCCTCTGTCACCCCCAGTGTATTTGTTTATGGAACCCCTAGTCACAACCCTTGGAAGCCGAGTGAAAGCGCTGCGCGGGCTGCACTGCACAACTGCTGCGAGCGGCCGCGCTGGCGGCTGGGCTGGCGGAGCGGGAGGCAGTCGGCTCCACGTGGGGGTGTCCAGAGAACTGACACGCAGTAAAAACCCACTCAGCTTCCAGCGACAAACACCGCTGAACCCACACCGACGTCCACGCCTTCCGTTTCGCAGCAGAACTGCGTTTTGGAGGGTTAACTGGTTCTGGCTCAGGTGTAAACAGCACTACACAACTTACACAAGAGGGGCCAGCGTCCCTCTTCGTGCTGGGCAGTCAGCTGGCTGCATTACTAACGACGCCACAATGGCGGATGTCGCCCAATTAACAGAAAAAAGACCTTGTTCTAAGGTGTTTTTCTTGGCTGTTTTTTAAAAAGGAGTGAGAACAAATGTTCACCCTAGGCAGGGGCTAATTTATAAAAAAGCAATGAGAACTTCTATCTTCCCTGAGGGTTTTTTCCCTAAATATTAGTGGTAAAATGATAAACTACAAGTTACTTCCAAATTACTGAAAATTCAGTCAATCTTTGCCCCAGATAACCGTGGGAGAATACTGTTATCTGCCAATTCCAGAAAAACAAACTACCAGTTCTCTCCCTGAGAAAAGGCAAACGCAGACACCTTATGTTAGTGACACAGCCAACCATCGTTACGTGGTTCCAAAGAAAAAGAAAAAAGGTTCGATCTGTTTACGGTTTGTCGTTAGGCAACATCCTCTTCCTCCTCCTCCTCATCTTCCTTTGCAATGAAATGCAGCTTTCTGAATTCTCGCCTGCTCATCAGTGTCCTCGGGAGTGGAACTGCTGGGAGATCCTTTAAGAAAAAGATAAAATCATTAAGGAAAGTGTTGAGGCAAACGGCAGACCTCCTGCCTCCAACAGTTCACGTACCTCCCTGTCGGATACAGGAGGCACCAACACACACCTCCTCCCTTGGAGGCGGTGGCACAGGCGCCTCGGCAGAGCAGAGGCGCTTTCAGGGGAGCTTGCCTCCATCAGCCACGGTTCAGACACGGTCAGCGGGAGGGCTGGCATTCCTCCGGCAGGCTCGAGAGGGATTCGGAGAGGGTGAAGTGCCCCACAAATGAATCCTCACCGCTGCCGCGAAATACCAACCATGACTCCTCATGGAACACCGAGGAGGAGGCGGCATCGCTTGCCCAAGGTTATGCGGTGTTAAAGGCAGACCTGGGATTCGGATTTAAAGCTCGGGCCTTTGGTCAGCCCAAAAGCAGAGGTGGCCAGAAACCAGTTTCCATTCCAAAGAATTACAATAACCACTATAAAGAACCAATGACCAGTGGAAAACTATTTTCACAATAACTCTGAGTCTCTATAATGCAGCTACGTATGTCTTTATGAGTAAAAATATCTATCTCATGGAATTGAACTAAACAATCTAAGCAAGAAAGATTTTACATCTGGAATTAATTTAGCTGGGCAATTAATTTCCTCTCTGATGGAGACAATTCTCTCTCGGCAACAGGGATATGACTCCAGATATCTACCAACACCAGTCCAGTTTGCCTACAGTTAGGGGGTTGGCCTACTTTTGTTTGAAGACGCAAGACTGAAGTGAAACAGAACCGAGCCTGTCACCGCGTACCTGTATGAACTCGACATCTCCAAAGAACCGGTCCACTGGCATTGGCTGGTTGCTGTCTTCATTCAAGAAAGCACTGCTGTCTAGTTGCATCGGCTTCTTCGGAACTTCTGCATCCTCCAAGCTAGACCCCTCTAAAAGTACACTCCCACAGCTGCTCTCCTCTTCACTGCAGACAGGATTATGCGGATTTTCATCACTGGCCATTTTTGATGGAGCACTGCTTGGTTTCACTGCGCATGGCTCGAGAGAAACATTATGTTCCTTTTCCTGTTTCTCTTGGTTGGTGTCTGGAATGCTTTCATCTTTCTTCTGTTGAGTTATATTGCAGTACCCTGGATCTTCTGAACGTCGACCCCTATCAGATGTTTTGGACGTTTCCCCCGATGCAGCAAGGTTTGCACTTCCACATGTAAGTCCTTCTAGTTCTGATTTTACTAGACTGTTTTTTTCACATTTTAGCCTCTTTGAGGGTCTGTCAGCTCCTTTGCTTGAAGAACGCTGTCAGAAAAAAAATGAAGACCCTAAAGCCTACTTGAAATAAAGAAAAATTAAATCACTGTATGCCTTTAGTTGCAAAACTGATGTGGAACCAAAGGGCTCCACATCCAAAGCTGCATCGCTAAGAAAAAAATAGTAGAAAACGGCCATGAAAAGAAGAAAAGAGGAGCAGACAGCTTACACTGAACCACAACGTACATCCCGTCACTAGCGGAAAGCTCCTTCTCAACGCACGAACGAGCACCGTACGTGGCTAATCACCACTTTCGTATTTTCTTAGGGATGCTGTAGCTGGCCATCAACGTAGCAGGACGGACTGCCGCCCGGTACGGCCGTGTCCCCCGCCTGCTAGCGGCGCGGCACGGCAGCTCACACCCACCCCGGCCTCGTAGCAGCAATGGCTCCCGCACCCGGCCCTGCAGCGCCCAAACGTGCCCCTGCGCTGCATTTTTGCACACAGGCCCCTAACAAAGTGGCGGGAAGGCAGGAAAGGCGAAGAATTTACGTAAATTCTCCAGGTAACTCCC